GGGAGGACGCACCTCATTCCGCTCTCACCTCAGTCCCACCTCGACTCGTTATCTCAGAGCTCATTCTCCTCGCCCGTTGTGCCGTCGCCACCTCGTGCTCGCTCCTTTCCCTCCTCGTGTTCGGCCCCCTGTCCCACGACGCCCACGCCCTGTGTCGTTCGCGAGGAGCTCTCTCCCTCCTCCTCCCCCGCTCGCACGCCCCACGGAAGAACACGACCGAAAGCCTTCCTACCTCGTTGCCTTGTTGTTGTGGTGACCGTTCGAGAACTCCCGTATATTCATTTTTGGTTCTCATATATTTACGTTCCCTTACTTTATTTTCTTTCCTTTATTTTTTTCAAACCCTTATTTTCCTTTATTCTTTTTTTTTTCGTTTTGTTTTTAACCCCGAACGAACCTGCCATTTCTTTTCGCGTTTGGAAACACTCTGACCACCGCCATGAGGGTCTTCGAAAGGGCGGTGCATGACGCGTTCCGTCTAGTCAGAGGACGAGACCGAGTGCCAAGATGAGTTTGATGCAGTTCTGTTGAATCGCGATGGACTAAACAGAAAAAAAGAAGAAAATATAGACCAATCTCTTTCCACTGACCCACGAAAAAGGACTTGCAAATTGTTTGGAAAGATAGAAGGAATAAGAGAATTTCTCCGGCGAAGGATCTTCCACACAGGATGGAACCCGCAAGAAGCACGCAGAACAGTCAAAGTGATCGGCCTTCATTGTTCGTGGAAACTTGAGCAAAAATACCCGCCTGTTCTTGCACCATTCGAATTTCTCATTTTGTATCATTATTTTATATTATCATTAATATTCCGTATACATCTATTTTTCTCATTCCATTCGCGGCTTTATTTATATGCTAATGATGTGCATATTTCGGACCAAGTTCGAAGAAGCGGTCTCCCCATCTCACGGCTGTGACGGAGAACTCGAAGGACGAAGGTTAAGTGTTCTAACGTCTCGCCGGGCTTTCGAGAGCGACGCCGCGGGGCCAACGCCGCTGAGATTCGCTGGAAAACAAAATTCGCTGAGGCTCTGATCTCTCCGTTTAGAGCCTCGCGAGAAGTCGTGCGGGGAGAGAGAAAAAGAAAGAAATAAGGTGACAACATACTTTTTTATTCTTGAGACGGGGAGGTAAGGACGAAGACTTCGGGCAGTGTCTGTGGTTTAGTACCTGCTTTTGCGAGAGTGAGTCCCGGTCGGCCTCACGTCCACGACCTGATACGACCTGTTTAACCTCGGCAAACTCCTCTCGAACGACTTTCCGTTGCCGCCGCCGCCGGTGGTGCTAGGGGTGGAGAGGCAGCGGTCGTGGATCTTGCTGCTGGAGCCGTGGGAAATTAATGACCAGCGTGGGAACTCGGGCGTCTGGCTGAGGAGAGCGTGCAACCCCAGGAAGCGGAAAGGAATATACACAGAGGAAAAGCGGGATAGCGTAAAAACAAACAAAAACAATACTCGGGTGTAGACAGTAACTTCGAAAATAAAATAGCAATATCAAGTAAAAAAAAGTCTTGCCTCGTGTTCGCACCAGCTTCTGTGCTTCCGGGAGAGAAAGGCGAAAAGAAGATAAAGAAAGACATAGAAAAAGAAATAGGAAAGTGATCTCCAGTGTCTTGCTGCAGTTTCTTTGATTTCCGCTTTTCTTGTACGATGTAGATCCTACGAACCTCGACCTCAGCAGGGCACTGACGTCTGTTCCTGGCCGAGACGAGGTTGTTTCATGAAAATTTGCAATAACATCTTGGATATTCATAGGAAACAGACAATACAAATCTGTGAGGACAGGAAAAATTGGACATTTCTATGCGTCTAGCTGGCAGCTCATATTTTGCAAAGAAAAGAGGGTGGAAAATATGTGAAATCTTATTCACGAACTTGAATTTCCTATTTGGAGTCCCAAGACCCAAACTGACCAGCTGTCCAAGGAGTTCCATGACATTTCTTATCAGATTGGCCATCTGAACTCCCTTTTATCTCAGCTGAAGGAACGGGAAAAATACCCGATATTACTCTCATGAGTTTTTCCATTTCGTAGTACTGCCCGGCGCCTCTGCGGCCAAAATGGAACCCGCGTCCAACTTCACCGGCGCAGGAGTGGACGAGTCCGGCATCCTTGAGTACATCGAGGCTCTGGACCAGGAGCTGGAGGGCTTCGCCGGGAACAATTCCTTGGGCCTCTACAACGACACGTTCAATGGTACGTTCTGGGTGTATCCATGGGGGGCGTCCATGTACCCCTCGGGATACAGCACCCTGGAAATCGTCATCATCACAGTCATCATCACCGTGGCCATGATCGTGGTGGTGGTCGGCAACATGCTGGTCATCATCGCCATCGCCACGGAGAAGGCGCTCAAGAACATCACCAACTGGTTCATCGCCTCCCTGGCCGTGTCGGACTTCCTGCTCGGCCTGGTGATCATGCCCTTCAGCCTGGCCAACCTCCTCATGGGCTACTGGATGTTCGGCGACCTGTGGTGCGAGCTCCACGCGGCCAT